GTCGTTCCTTCCTACTACGTCATACTACGTAGTCGATATCGTAAGTAAGTAAAGTAGTACCGTCGGAGTACATAGCATGTACGTAGAGTAGTTCGTTCTCTCTCTCTCTCTCTCTATATATATATATATATATATATATATATATATATATATGTGGTTGCTTGAGCGTATGTGGGACCGCACGCAAACATGTTGGCCTCATGTGGGCAAATAGACAAGAAGCCCACACACCCACACATAAAATAGAATGCTACTGTTTGGCACATGTCCAAAAGCTGAAGTAGGGGCTTGTGATGGTAATTATCCAGACAAGCATTATTAGAGTTGCATTTTCATTATGTGGTAGCTAGTATTTATTGATTGTGAGGAGAACAAAAAGGGCACATGTTGTTTAGCTCTGTAACATGTGATACACACATTTGACAAGATTTGGACTTGGACTTGGATTTGATTTCAACAGTGTCCCAAGCTTGAATCGTACAACGTAACTGCCCTCCAAAAGAAGGTACATGCATCGAGTCCTTTGCCCATAGGTTGGATGTAATGAAGTGGGATGATATTATGTAGGTTGGACGAAATCAAAGGATGATGTTCCCAATAGCTAGGTGCTCTTTAATATTAGGAAAAATTATATAAATATTCGTTATATTTTCTGTTTTTATAAAAATATCTGAAACTTTCTATTATTACCCAGATGTCTATTTTTTCAATTTCATAACACTTTTTTTTTCAAAAAAATAAAACTGCTCATTTTCTATTTTTGAAGAACAGAATTTTTAATTTTTGATTTTTCAAAAATTGAATTTTATTGCTTGTAAGATATAAGGTATAGATATAATATGATACTTATATCTACTATTGTTATTCAAATAGTGTATTGGTAAAAGTGTATGGTTTTTTTTAAGAGGTTTGGGTTCAAATCTTGTCCATACTATGATGGTTTTTTTTTTGTGCTTTTCAATAAAATAAAAAACATCTATTTTTTATTGAAAAAAACTAGATTGCGTATGGGGGAATTGAACTCTTGAAGTGAATGTGTAAAGGCATGCATGATAACCGAAAATCCATGTCCATTCCATGAAGAGGTTTTTTTTTGTTTTTTAATAAAATAAAAAATATCTATTTTTTATTAAAAAAATTAGATTGCGTATGGGGGGATTTGAGCCCTTAACGTGAAAGTGTAGAGGCACACATGATAACCAAAAGGTTAACTCAACTTCAAGTTTGAAATTCGGTTTCTCCAAAAATCAAAAATTGAAAAATTTTGGGTTTTCAAAAACTGAAAAGGGACATTTTTTTTTTTTCTAAGTGTTATAAAGTTGAAAAAACGGATATCTGTATAATAACAAAAAGTTTTAGGTATTTTTGTAATAACAAAAAATATAACGGATGTTTACATAATTTTGCCTGACATTGGTTAAGAAAGTGGAATAATGGTCATAATGGTTATGTCATGTCTAACTGGCCCTTTTGACGCTATGCTTGTTGAACTGATTCCAAGGAAGTAAGGTAACATCCCCATGGTTAGGCCTTGGCCCTCTCTAACCCACTTCCTAACTATATGGCACTAACACCTCATTCGAGCGTCTCTCAAATATAAGTAATTGCTATCCTTCAAGTAAAATGAAAATGGCTTCACTAAGAATACCCATTTGATAGCTTCACTGAGAATACCCATTTGATATCCATATTGCATAATCCGTTCTCTAATCTTCTTCTTCTGATAAGAACTTTTATTGGTATATACCTAACAATCTACTAAGTGATGTCAAGTCCCTAACATGCACTCAGTAGTAAATACACCATGCTATAATTTGTCACCTCAATTTGGAACAATCTCAAGCTTGAGTCTCTTTAATTAGATGCCACTATATCTGGGACGATAACCTTAAAGTACCTCAACCAACCAAAACTTAACTTTGGAAAGCTAGTTTCAACTCAAAAAAGAGGAAAAAAAACAGGGATCAGATATTGGATGTCCAAAACTGTCCCGGATGACGGACAACGACAACATGACATTTCGAGTTCCATTTCTACTATGATTACATTAAAAAACAAGAAAAGGAGAACATAATGGCCTATAATTATAACTAAAAACTCAGGGAAGTTTTTGAGTCGAATTGACTAAGAAACCTAGTTTTGGTCTCGGAGATTAGTCATTTCAATAGTGTTCGAGTCCAAACTCTGGATCCCTGAACCTTGCTGAAGTGTCAAGCATTTTTTCAGTGAAAGAATAGCTTGGATATTGGATGTTTGAAGCGATCTTTCACTCAAAAAGAAACTTTCTGGTTCAAAAATTGGATATCCGAACGCGACCACTTATTGAATGAATTAAAAAACATGAAAATGTATAAGAATGAATCCAAGGCCTAGTTCTTCAAGGTGGCACGGTGACACAGCTCGACGTCTTAGGTTCTACTCCTGTTAACATCAAGTGAGAGAGAGAGCATAATGACTTACAACTCCACATGACTTACATACTCCAACACTAAACTTTTAGGAGTCTTTAAGTCACCAACTCAGGTTTGACTACCTCATGGCTCATTAACATTTATTATTGTTCTTTTTTTTTTTTTGAATTCCAGACATTAGATGTCCAAATTGATTGTTTTTTGTAATTGGGCTAATTGGGACATCCAATGCCCAAGCTGGTCTTTCACATTATCCTCAAAATAAAAGATAAAGTGGTATAGTTCAAACTTCAAACATTGGATGGTTCAATTTGTTAATGTGTCAACTTTTTCCAGTGAAAGGCTAGCTCAGACATTGGATGTGGAAGCTAGTCTCACTCAAAAAAAAAAAAGAAAAAGAAAGAAGGGGTATGTGATTCTGATATTGGATGTTCAATTTGACCCACTTATTAAATGAATACAAAACCATAAAACAAATGGAAATGGACCCAAGGCCTAGGTCATCAGGTTGGTAGGGTGTCACAACATTAAGTTTTGGGTTCTATTCCGGTCACAACTCGGGTATGATTCAGAGACCTTTTGAGTTTTCAGTTCCAGTGTATATGCGTCATATTGCCACTTGTCAACTTTTTTGGGTGTACGGATAATTTAGACATGGAAAATTGTTTCATGCTGGCTGGACCACATGACTATATATAAGGTCCGAAAAATGTTAAGCATCCGCATCCATCTTAAAGATGGATGCAAGTAGGTGTTCCATCTAAAAACAATGGAAACTAATGGTCCAAATTATTTCTAACTAGAATTATCATTTTTAGTTTTTAAAATGTACTTATTTTTTCATATTCATGATCTCCATGTTAGAGAGTACATGTCCTTAAAAATTAACTCCAAAAATCCATCTCAAAAATAGATTTATTAATAGGCCCGCATTTCTACATATGATGGCTTGGCCGCATAGAAACCGGGTCCTTTAGACATTAGATGCCCAAATCGAGCTTTGATTAAAAAAAACCCGCATGTGGCTTGGATATTATAAGTCCGAATTGGCCTACTGGGAAAAAGAAAAAAACATAAAAATGAACCGGAACATACTTGAGGCCTAGGTCATCAAGGTGTCAGGGTACTATAGCATGATGTCTTGGGTTTCATTTGAAAATAAAGGAGGAGAAGAAGAATATCATATATCACATAAAAAGAGTTTTCCGTTTCGGATTATAAGTTGTTACGTTTTTATTTTTTTTTCCAGTGGTTTTTAGATGCAAATGGGGTAAGAATTGAACCGAAAATGTAGTCAGGCCCGGAAACCTTGGGAGTTTTCAGTTCCAAAGTGTATGAGTCATTATGTTCTATTTTTCTTGAATGTTGATGAGGTAGGGATGAAACCCAATACATCACGTTTTGCTGATTAAAAAAACTTGATTCTCATGTTGTAGAGCCATAATCTTCCCATGTGTAGACATCAACGTCTGAACCACTCTCACTATTAAAGAACAACTAAGAGAATTTTATAAGGTCTTTGCAACTCCCCAGAAGCAGCATGTGAAATACATTCCTACCCATCTCTAGATATTGATTTTTCAAACCAGTATAATTATTTTTTTGAGTGAAAAACTGGTTCGGACATTCATTGTCTGCACCAATATCTTTTCTTAGTGAAAGGCGAATTTCAATATTGGATGTCTAATCCGACTCAATTAGGAGCATGTGATTCCATGTCTTCTTGTTGACAAGTATGAATGATATCAAATAATGGAGAACATAATTGGCAGCACTGAAGCAATTCATGACATAACTAATGCAAAATGAGAATAGATGAGACCTAAAGAGTACAGGAATCCCAATTCTCTACACTCCTAATCCCAAGGAACTACCAGAAACACTCAAACCCTGAGCTTCCTAAACCTACAGATTTTGAGCTAGTCCTAAGAGGGGGATGAAATCTCCATCCCCCTAAAGTAGGGGTGGCAATGGGTCGGGTCCAGATCTGGCCCAAACCTGAAAATATAGTTTGGGACCCGAATCTGATCCAATTCGACCAAAAAATTAAATATCTATGTATTTAACTGTATTAAATATGTTAAATATATTGAGACTCCAAAAATATTATCGGACCCAGATCCGGACCCAAATAATGTTCAGGCTCAAGATTTGGACCCGGACCCAATTGGTATGTTTGGATTCCTTGATAAAATTGTTTTTCCTTA